TAGAGAGGGCTGTAAAGCACTGTGAAGCAGTATATAAGTGCTATTGCTATCTTTGTACAGAACATTTGCTAAGAATTTTGGAACAACCCCCCCCCCCCAATAAACCTTAAAATAGCAAGCTTCGCAAAATGCCTTTTTTAAAGGAATTTCCAAGAATCAAAGTAGCAATTTTAAACAATTAGGGATTTTTTTCCAGGCTTCTGGAAGACAAAGACCCCCAATTACACGTCATACAATGCTAAACAAACTCATATTTTAATACATCATTAATCCATATTAGAGAAGTGAGATATATCACAACTATTATTAAATTATTTGCAGAGGCACATTTTTTTTATGGAACACAATTAAATCTAATCCAAATTCTTAAATACATTTTTCTAAATGGTTTAATGTATCCCAAATATGGCATTCTACAATGATAGAGGCTTCAACAAAGTGGTTCAACCAGGACTTGAATTATTTAACTCTACACTTGGCTTCTAAAACTTCTATTATTAGTCCTCCTAGGAAAAGCAAATAGAAATCAAACTGCTGCAGTAATGGCTTGTGCTATGTCTGAGGAAAGACAGAGCTTAGGATAAATGTCTTAGATATGGACAGTAAAGTTGAACCCAGCAGAATTTCTGCTCTCATTCCTCTAGGCAATAATGTTTCTGAACCGGCTAAGTACACAGATGAGTTTATGATTTCTACATTCTGCAATGTATTGATGCTTTTGTATTTTGATATCCAACTCACAACTATCTTGGAAAAGAGTTATTATATAAGAATCTACTCCTATAAAACGGGAGTAGTGAAATCTCTGGTCCAAGTCTTCTTATACTCTTATCATTGCAGAAAGTTGATGCAGATTAGTACCACATTACGAACAAACTCTCCCAGGTGAACTGACAAATTCTGTGTTCAACATCTATCTGATCAGGATTCACAGATAACTACAGCAATGTAGTCAAGTTCACCATAGCAACTAGCAGAATATGCCAGCAATTACAAGCAATCAGATTTCCTTGTGCCATGAAAGCTCAAAACTTCTTTGTAATAAAGTTTTACTCAAAATTCCTGACATTTCTCACCACCTGCTATTGAGCTTCTTCTGCTATGTTAGTGCTAAATGAAGTATAACACATTAAAACTATTTTAATGCTATTGCATTGCTAACTATATTGGTATCTGTGAGCATCATGACAGACAGATATGTAGAGGTTATGCAAATCATTCAAATGAGATGCTTCATAATGTGTGGGAGCATGGAATATAGGGTGTGTCAAATTTTTTCAACTTTCAATTTCCAAACATTAGGGGTGCTCAAAAGNCATTATACAAAGCATCGGATACTTAATTACACTGCATATAACAATCTTCCTCAATTTTGTCTTCTTTTGATACTGGTGG